CAGCAGCAGAGCCTGTGCAGAGTCTGGTCCCTGACTGAACCCACTGGCTCCTCACCTGCCACCAGGATGTCCAGGGGGTCACTGGGGGCCGACCACTCAGAGGAGAGGTTGTATCCACTGTAGCATCTGTACCGGCCCCCGTGGGAGCTGCTCACAGTGTCCAGGGGAAAGTGGGCCTGAGAGAGCCCAGCCTGGGGTTGCAGGACTAGGCTCTGGGGGAGGTCCGGTCCCCACTCCTTGTGCAGAGCGAATCTGTCATAGCCGCCATCAGAGCGACACTGGAGGGTCAGGTTCTGTCCAGAGGCTACGATGGGGCCCTGCTGGCTCAGGAGAAAGGGCTTCCCAGAATCACCTGGGGAAAACAGACATGAGTTATAGGGCTGCTCCTCCCATAACCCCTTCTCCTGTCCCGGCACCCAGGTCTCACTGTCTCTCTCTATGTCTCTGGCCTGGAAGCCTCTGTGCTCCCCTCACCCTCTCACATGGGGCTCCCTTCACAGCAAAGATGCCAATAATGTACCTGGTGCCGCAATCCATGGATGGGACAATAATGGACTCACCTGGGACCAGGAGCTCCAGGGGGTCACTAAGTGGTGAGCACACCTGAGATATATTCCTGTAGCAGCCGTAGCATCTTAATGTCCATCTGTGAATGGGGGTCACGGGGCCCACAGGGAACAGGGCTTGGACCTGCCCACTGGGCTGTGGCTGTGAGTCCAGGGTCCAGGAGAGCCTGTGATCTCCTTCCTTAGTCAGAATGAACCTGTCAAATCCCTTCCCTGAGCCACACTGGAGGGTCACGTTCCCTCCTGAGGTCACCACAGGGCTGGGCAGGGCTGAGAGGCTGGGTTTGCTGTAGGATCCTAGGAGAGGAGGGAGCAGCGTGTTAAATGGGGCTCACACCTCCCTCATGTCCCCCAGGGCTGGGCTGTGAGAGGGACACATCCTGAGAGCAGACCCCTTTCCTGAGGGCAGGGCCTGAGGCTGGGACCCCAGAGTGTCCTCTCACCTGTCACCATCACCATCAGCTCCAGGGGGTCACTGTGCTCTAACTGGCCAGTGGGGCTGCGAAAGTAACAGCGATAGCTCCCTGCATCACGCTCTGTCATGTGTGGGATGGAGAACTTGGCCTTATCCCCAGGCTGCTGTGGCTCCTGTGTTTTCCATGGTACTGGGCTTCGGTCTTTCTCCAGATGGTACTCCACAGCCTCTGGGATCCCCTGACACCAGATGGTCACGGAGCTCCCCCGGGGGATCACAGGGCCTGGCTCTGCCCAGAGGGTGGGCTTGGGGACGGGCCCTGGAGGAATCAGAGGCTGGGTCACAGGACATTCCCACCCCTGGTTCCAGCTCTTGGACCCAGATGCCCGCCCACCCCCCGTCTGTCAGACAGTACCTTCCCCAGCTTCCCATGGGGTGGCCCTTGTCCCCAGTGAGAATTGAGACCTAGGACAGCTGGGGAGACTCACCTGCCTGCACTGGGGTCCTGAGGCCCACACTCAGCCCTGGAAGAGAGTCCCTGTGAGAGATTTGCCCTCAACCCTGAGCAGCTCCCTCCTTCCCAGGATCCTCCTGAGTCCTGGGGCCCTGACAGACCAAGGTTCCCCTCCCCCCTCCCATCTCACCGAGGCAGAGCAGGGCCTTTAGAATGGGGGTCATGGCGTCTTCTCCAGGAGGCCTCAGCTGAGCAGATGGAGGAGGCTACGGTGCCAGTAGGATAGATGGACAGATGCACGGGTGGTGGTCACTTGGAGGCCCCTCCTGCCTGTCACAGGGTTGTCATGTCAGTGGCCTGCAGGTGACGGCACAGTCTCTCTAGCAGCCTGGCTCTCATTTTCATGGTGAAGCAGGAAATAGACCCGGAGCGTCCTGAGAGGCCCCTTGCAGGTGAGGTAACCCAGGGCATGTCCTTTTCTGTCAGAGTCTCCCCCACGGGGTCTCCCTCCTCCTCAGCCTGTCCATTAGCACCTCCCTGGGGTCCTCACCATGGATAGTGTCACCCGGCCTGGAGATGCTTCAGGAAGACGTAGGTCCCTGTGGCTGCAGAGCCCAGATCAGCAGGGACACACTCACCCTCTCCCTGTGCAGCTCAGGGCGATGTCCCTGTGACAATGAGCACAGAGGGGAAATGCCGGGAAATAAGGGAAGGAAACGGGTCCCTTCTGTGGCCCCAGAATCTGGGTTTTCTTTCTAGCACATGTTTCTTCATGAACTTCCCTTTTTCTCAGCCACAGCCTCCAGCCCCTCCTTCCTGGAACCCGCCTCAGGTTCCTTTTCCCCCTCAGGGCCCCTCGTTCCTGGGGCAGCGCTGTCCCCCTGGGACCATGGCTTGTCCTAGACAGTAAGAAGATGTGATTTGGTCTAGAGCTTTGGTTTGTTAAGGAAAATTCCCTTTTTCAAATACTTGTGTCCCACCTGCTTCCTGTTTGAACTGAGCAGTAATGTCTTGATCAGGTGTTTTCATTTTTTTTTTTTACAAGAGAACGCCCACTCTTATTTACTTACTCTTCAGTGACTTTAACTCCTGAGGGTTACAGCACTCCACGCATTCAGTTCTCAATGGTCTTAGCAGGACGGTTGCTCTGGAATTTGGCAGGAACCGTCCACTGTTTCCACCAGCAGGACTTCCCTCTCCCCAGGTGACTCTGGATTTGTGCGCTTTGCCACCAGGAGTCACTGTGTTGCTCTCTGCTTTGTACACAGAGCCCATCTCTTGCCCAGACAGAGTTCAGTTCCATCTCTCACACACCTTCAGCTTTAAGGGCAGCTGTGAGCTCCCTCTGGTCCCCAGACCCCGCCTGCAACCAACAGAGCTGGTCTGAACCACAGCTTCCACACTTATTTGTTTTCATAGTAGTCCTACTTCCTGCGGGCCACACGGCCAGCAGCATGAGTGCCACTCATACTTTTCTTCTTCCTTCCCCCCCCCCCAACAAGTTAAAAAAAATATATAATATTTTTATTGATTTCAGAGAGGAAGGGAGAGGGAGAGGGAGAGAGAGAAACATCAATGATGAGAGAGAATCACTGATCAGCTGCCTCCTGCATGCCCCACACTGGGGATCGAGCCCGAAACCCAGGCACGTGCTCTGACTGGGAGTTGAACCACCACCTCCTGGTTCATAGGTCGACGCTCAGCCTCTGAGCCATCGTGGCCAGGTTCTTCTTCCAGTGTTAAGAGTTTTCTGCATCTAATTAAAGGTTGGAACCCTAAGTGTGCATTTTAACCAGAAACATCCCTCTCAGACGTTCGTCTCGCCTCTCTAAATGCGTTTACTCTGCCAGAGTCCCTATGACACCAGTGTCCAACATCCCGGGATTGTTCGGAAGACCTCGCTGCTACTAGGTGGGCCTGGAGTTAATTGTGCGCGATGATTTCACTTTTCAGATGACATTTTGACTGGTTCCACAAGGCTTCAGATATTCTACTTATACCAGAGGCAGTCTGGAAAATTCATCCTCGCATCACCAGGGCAGAGCACAGCCCTGAGGGTGGGGGTCATGGTGTCTCTTGTCTCGTTCTGGCTGTTGATGGAGGTAACCAAGGTGCCATCAGGATGGAGAGATACAGGGTGTGGCACCGGGAGGCTGGCCCTCCCTCCCTCAGGGCTGTCAGCTCAGCAGCCCCACAGGAAGGGGAACAGTGTCTCCCAGATGTTCGGCTCTCATTTCCATGATGGATCAGGAAATAGACCTGGGGTCTCCTGAGACGCCTTTGCAGGTAGGTGACCCTGTCAGAGCCTCCCCCACAGGCTCTCCTTCCTCCTCAGCCCGTCCATCAGCACCTCCCTGTGGTCCTCACCATGGACAGTGCCACCCGGGCCCTGGAGATGCTTCAGGAAGACTTTGGTCCCTTTGGCCTGCAGAGCTCAGATCAGCAGGGACACGTTCACCCTCCAACTGTGCAGCTCAGGGCGATGTCCCTGTGATAATGAGCTCAGAGGGAAATAAGGGAAGGAAACAGGTCCCTTCTGTGGCCCCAGAGTGTGTTTCTCTTCCTATCCCAGCCCCTGGTGACTCCCCTTTCTTGCAACAGCATCCACCTCATCAGGGCGGGAACTTGCCTCTGAGTCCCGCCTCCCCTCAGTGCCTTGTTCCTCAGGAAGATCTCTCCTCCTCTTCCCGGGCCCCTGTCTTCACAGTCGGTGACAACAAATGTGTTATTGCTCCGATTTGGGGAATAAATC